TGTCCCAAACAAAGATTAAACCAAAGCCCAAAGTAAAGAATAAAATAAAACCATAACGTATGGTGATGAATTAGCTGGCGGGTCAATACGTCAATCGCCATGATGGATTTTGGAGAATATAATAACGTTTTAATAAAAGCAACAACGCCGAAAGAAAGCTGTGATGAATTGCGGATCGGATATGCTAATAAACTGCAGCCAATCAGTAAGGAACCCGAGAAGGAATTCATATTTCTGAGTTTTGGGGCGGTTAACGAACGAGTTTTGCTCGCTTTTTAGAAAATTTTCAATTTGTGAAGCTGTTTTTTGATTATTTGATGTTTTACACATTTTTAACAGTGATTATATTATTGAATTTTATATCATCAAAACCACGTTATGAAACAATAATCTAAATTAACAATATACTCTATCTTACTGCTTACGAGTAAGTAGTACCTACCATAAGGCGATTTTCAGGACGCTGGACAATGAAACGGGTGGTAAAGTTAAAAATAAATTACCTCTTTCCTTGGCGTTGATTAAATCGTATGGTTTCCTATAACCGACGCATTTTGTTTGTACATTTTTTTTTCAAATAAGATATATTTTTTTAACCCTGTACCTAATAAAGCAGATAGGTCATAAAGTTGGTAGGTACGCCCGGAATTAAAGGGTTACCCTAAGCCGTTTGTCCAAAAACAACAATTGGTTTTATTCCTTACAATTATGGTTGAATATTTTAAAATCTGATTCACTTATTATGCAAGCAGCACGAAACGCAAATGATTTTAATTGTTTCGCCGGGTAACATGATTCATAGCGAGTGAGATGTAAGGAAATAATTAAAGTTGCTTCCAAATGCTGTATTCCGTGCACAGCAGGGTTGTCAAAGTTGTATACAAATTACTATTATTATCTTCTGTAAAAAGGGTGTATATTGGGTGAGTGGGAAACGCCCTTGGCAAAAACGTGTGTAAAACGGATTAATACTCGTAGAGGCGATGACGAGGAGTCATTTGTACAGCGTCAAATAAGTAGTTCGTTACGCTCAAAGTAGCCAAAAAGTCCGCAACACGCTTTTGTTACAATTGGAATAATGTTGGGTTATCTATCTATCAAACTGTACTGTACAAATCTCTAGGTAAATATCGCTTTTACAAGCTTTTGTTCCTAATTTATACGATAACAAGAGGAATAATTTATCAACATTGTGAAGTTTTATCAAAATCCTTTCACGTTTAAAGATTGGTCTAGTAATTTGGAACCAAATAGCAATGAAAGGTACAAAGTGAATATTTGACTGACTTAGCCATTGATTTATGACTCCGAGTCATAAATTTATTACACGGTCTAAAGCTGGCAAGCGAAACACTCCTTACAAGAATCTTGAAGCTCTTTTAATTATTTTACTTTAATTATATTGAAAGTGTGACAACCCTACGCAGATCTGTATGAAATTAATGTAAGCGATTACTCTTGGAAGCTGGTTGTGTTTAATTCAGTGGCAGCCGACACAATCACTTGCAGTTAATGTACCGTCCGTGTTTTAATTGGCGAATGTATAGCTTACAGGGCTGATATTAAAGCAGGTACAGTGATATTACCAATACCGATTGGCCACGTGACAACTACGAAACGCCATACTACACGAGAGTATAATCCCGCAAAACGGATGATACGGTATTATATTATATAATAATATTATATTATATTTATTATATTATATAATATAATATAAACGAGAGCTTAATCCCGCAAAACGGATGATACGGTATTATATTATATAATCATATTATATTATATTTATTATATTATATTATGCGGGATTATACTCTCGTGTAGTATCTTCAGTTCTTTTAGTTTAATTATGGCGTTTCGTAGTTGTCACGTGACCTTTTGGTATTGGTAATATCACTGTACCTGCTTTAATATCAGCCCTGTAAGCTTTGGGCTAACGGACTTGTTTGTAGACTAGCGGCCGCCCGCGACTTCGTACGCGTGGATCCCGTTTTACCTCTTAGGCCCAGAACACACGGTGAAACGCAATTGCAACGAAACGTCATGTGTGGTCTCTTAACGGACGCTATGGCAGAAACTTAGATGCAACTAAAAAGTAACTAGAAGTTGCAGTTTCGTTTCACCGTGTGTTCTGGGCCTTAGGGGTGGAATTTCTTAAAATCCGTTCTTAGCGTATGCCTACGTCATAACATCTACCTGCATGTCAGTCAGTCAGCCAGTATATTTAGATGAATAAATTGTCTAGAGTAGGTAAAAGTGGGTCCGTGGACATGTCAAGTGTTGAATTTTTAGACGAAAATATAAAAATGGTGTAGGTGTAGGAAGGGAAATGTTTCGTAGCGATTGCATATTTATTTATATAATTTGATTATTATAGTTAGATGATAGTTATATGTTGCATTGGCTACGCCACGAATACACTTCTCTTTAAAATTAAGAACACGAATAAAACGACGATATAATTATTAATAATCATAATTTATTACACCAAGTAAGAACATCGATAAAAATATAATGTAAGTGCAACATTCATACTTTAACATCTGCAATATTGACCACATAAGAAAATTAACTGCTTAAAAGACAGAAAAATAAATTGTAGTTTTTCCAGATAGAAAATGTGGCATAACTTACACAATAATTGCAAAATTCTTACGCTATTTTAAAATAATTATTATTTTTGCTACAACAAAGACATTAAACAGCTGTCTTATAGAAAAAAGCTTTAAAAGAAAATTATATTAAAGCAGTTCTTACAAATTTAAAAAGCGACGTTCTTTCAAGAGAAAGGAACTATTTAGAGAATATAATAATATGCTTATAATTTTATATCGTATGTACTTGGCTTATACTGAACGTTAAGATTCATAAAATTTTAATGTACTTTTTAGTTCAGTAACATCTAAAATTCGATTGACACAAATATAGGCATTTTTAGCACCCTAACTTAAATCAGTACAATACTAAAAAGAAAGGCGTATTGTTCAAGCCATAGAATTTAAATTCGTTTAGTATTAGTACATTCAAATCCAGGCCAACCGATATAATCCGTTTTTTTTAAACAAATAATATGTATGGCCTTCTATTGTGAAGAAAGTTAATTCTTTGTAGTTATGAGTACAATTTTGCAAACTAATTTAAATTCAAATGCTTCAAAAATACGTCTCCAATTATTACAATTGGATTATACAATGGGCAATTCTAAACAAGTTTTATTTTGGTGCCCGTTGTAAACAAAGTAAGTTAATGTAATGTATTCTTTTTTAATGTTTTAACATTTGAATATGAGGCAGATAAATAAGGCAACGTGACATTAAGTCTCATTTCAACTTTATTTGTAATAAATTTTATTTCATAAACATTTTAGTATAAGAAAAGTTATTGGCTTGCCTTCAATCATTACAGTAAGAAGAACACGTGTAACATACATACTTAAAAGATTTTGATTCTTAAATTGGGGCTTTGGTGGGAAGTTCTGATTATTCTAGCGATAAATTCTGATTTAAAGTTAAACCAAACTATAATAAAATGTTAACATTACAACACTGGAATTAATGGTTTAAGCTTCTTATTCATAAAAAAAATTAATTAGATGTAAAATATGTTTGGTCTTTTTTTTAAACCTTTGTCAATATTTATTTTTAAAAATATTATTATTTATAACTTTGTCAATATTTCTAAACGTTGATATAAACGAGAATTGCCAGTGTCTTTCTTTATGAATAAGAAGGTGTGAGTATTATAAAAACAGATAACTGATTAAAAATACAACAAACTGTTAGCCCGTAAATGCAATGAATTGAGAAACAAAATTACTTTAATACACAAAAAAAAATTATTTAAATCACTTCGTTTTCATACTTTTTTCATTTTTATTTTCTTCTCAGTAGACTTTTTTTGTCAGATCTATGTAATTAAAGTATAATGCGTGAAATAATGTTTTTTTTAATCACACAAGACTAATAGTAGTAACTTTTTTCAGTCAGTTTTTGTACATAGAAGGCACTAAGCAAGTGTTCGATTTATTTCTAGATACTTTCTCTAACATTGTGAAGTAAGATAGAGTAATAAAAACGGTCTGAGAACAGAAGGATTCTCTTGTATATCTTGCAGAGAAGCATAATAATGAAGTAAAATTACATTCATCATCCAGTCATATAAAGTCAGAGAATATTCTTTATGACTGTACGTTTGTTTTTTCTATTCGAGTAAAAGAGAAGACATTATTTTTATTAAATAATGTATGTGAAGCATAATAATGAAGTAAAATTACATTCATCATCCAGTCATATAAAGTCAGAGAATATTCTTTATGACTGTGAAGACATTATTTTTATTAAATGCTTCATGATGAACATTTTTGCCAATTTTTCGTTTTGTGATTGCTTTAAAATCGAGTAGTCATTTTAAATAATGGTTTTTGCTGTCCAATTTATGGGGACACTAATTTGTAGAAGATTAAGCAATCATTTATCAATCAAACCTAATTTCTACCAATTAAAAACTTATAGTAAACTAAACATCTTAAAAAGTATTTAAAATACGTGTAATGAGATTTTTGAGCACTTACAAAATAAGTTTACTCAGTAAATATTCGATTGAAACAAGTATAATTTTCTTGGAACAGAAGTTTAACTTCTCTATAAATAGTTATAAAAATCAATATATTAATCGATAAATTTCTAATTTATATTGAGACTTTGACATCAGATCAAGCGGACGGCTTTAAAAGAGCATAAGCATGGAACCAATGTCTATGTGTTTGCTATCACCATGAATACTTATGTATGTAATGTAATGTCAGACAAAAACAGTATTCAAATCTCTTAATCTTACTTATGGGCAAGTAATTTAACCATGGCGAATAAACTTCACAATAATAAATCGATTAGATGGTAAATTGTGAAATCATTTCAACACAGAACAAAATTACTTGCAAAAATTTGCAAATAAATACAAAAAGATGGCAGGGTTTACCCCAAATGCGAGTTGTTTTCTTCTTGATCCGGATTAGTATAATCCGAGTAGACCCAGTAAACACTTCTTGTAGTGGCCGGAGCAGTCACCCTGGAAACAATTAAAATAAAATTAGCATCTGTAGCCTCTAAGAAATGACGCTTGTATGTAAAACTGCATTTTATAAATTAAGTTCCATAAGATAACAATAGATGGCGCTGTATGTACTCTACATCTCACGCGGTTTTAAGTTGGCGGTGACGTGACTCAACCCTCTTCTTTGTAGGACTTCAAACACCACATTACGCACTCAATTGTGAAGCTAAACAATGTAATGAATGGCAAGCAGTTTTTAGTTTTAAGCCTCTTGAGCGTTACTATTTCTTTAAATGTCTGAGAAGTGAATTTTCACAATTATGCGGCTGAGCGAGTCTCTCCTTTATTGCTTAGTAGTGATAATCGCTATTTCTTTAACTGTTGGACCTAGCTAACGTTGATTAAAGTGATATTTCTTTTGGACCTTAAATCTATAGTTTTAAGTGTCAATTTACCTCTATCCAGCTCTGCAGCGTCTCTCCGTACTTGTTCTGGAACATATCCGAGATGTCTCCAAGATCCAGTTCGCAGCGCGTCACCATAATGCGGATCAACTGACGGTCGTTTGTACCAAGACCCTTCATGGATTTGTGCAGGCGTTCCGCGAAGAATAAAGGCTTGTTGCGAACCACTTTCACTGTAACAAGGTTATTTTTATTATAAAACACTGTTTTTAGGTCTAAATCATCAATGATCGTAATAGACGTATATTATGATGTGAAGTATTTTTACATTGTACACAAATCTTGTAGAACTGATGAAGAGAAAAGTTCTCGAGTGGCAGTCCTGGCTTCCCACTCGGTGGATCGACGATCTAGTAAAGGTGGTGGGCAACCTGGCTACGGACAGCGTAGGATTGGTTTTTATGGAAATCCTTGAGGAAGGTCTTTGTTTAATAGTATCTCTTTATCTGAAACGAATGATCGAACGAGTACATCGTCGTTATCATTATTTTCAGGATAAATAGCTCCACTAGACTAAATAGTCTCCACTGCAGGAACACGACCTTTACCAATGTATCAGAGGCAAATGGAGGATTTTCACGCTGTTCAGACGGGTTGGGAAGGCCTGATGTTATCCCATTTCTTCCTTATTCGCCTCTTACGACATCTATGACAAAAGCTCTCAGAGCCTTCTCGATGTCACCCGAGAACTCGGACTTGATGGCGTCATCGATGTCGTGGCCGGTGAGGTAGTGGTACTCTTGGAAGATGGCCGCCAGTTGGGGAAATATACCGAAGATCCAAGGATCTTCAAAAAGTAAGTCAAGACTTACCGATAGCTCTCAAAGCCTTCTCGATGTCTCCGGAGAACTCGGACTTGATGGCGTCATCGATATCGTGGCCGGTGAGGTAGTGGTACTCTTGGAAGATGGCCGCCAGTTGAGGGAAGGAGCGAGAGCACAGGATCGCGTTGAACACCGACTCGTCTGTGCCTAGACGGAGTTCACCTGGAAAAGGAATTGGAGTTTGTTTACTACTGACCCTTAAGGCCGGGTAGCAGAGAAAATGGCGAAAATGAGGTTTTCATTTTTCATTTTTGAGGTACTAAACAGTAAAATTAAAGGCTAAGATTTTTATTGGGCATAGTTGAGGATATTTTCTAGGGCTATTAACGGATGGAAACACGATTTGATGAAGTTGACTCGATAGAATAAATTCCCAAAGTTACCTCTATTCGTTTTCTATTTATGGTTTTATTTTTAAAATAAGCGATTTGAGATTCTAAATCTTTTACTAAACTAAAGTTCAGAAATAACTTGAGGGCTTTTAACGGATGAAATTTTTATATTGCGTCTTATTTAGTTACTATGTTAAAAAATGTGGAAAAAATCGTCCATGACGGCTTGGACAATCTCAATCAGTCGCGCGGTGGCGCTTACGGAGGACGGACGCGTGTCAGTTTTTTGGCCGTGACAGTTCGCGATTTGTCAATATTTTTGACAATGATGACTTTGATGAGTCACAGTATAATAATATCAGTGTTACTGGAGAAAGTTTAAATTTTTGATAATTAAGAATATTATCAATTTTGTCTACCTATTGAAATTTAAATCGTTCGCATCCTTTTAAACGAAGACTCTACTCATGATACATAGTACATTCCTCAAATATGAGACTGTGGCGACTACGTCCCACTTACGCCTCATACCAATTAATTAAAATATACTTAATTGTAATACTTCTCGTACAAACTTAAGATGTAAATGCTTTGTTAGTTATAGCGTGTTAATTTTAGAGCATGGTAATTTTAGTTTCTCACGCACCTGCAATTTTAGGATTTTATTGTCGGAATGTTTAACTCAAATCTTTTTAGTGTTTCGCCGATGTAACATGTGGTCCATTGTTGATCTATGCAAATATTGCAGGTGTCTGTGTATCAAGCAACACCAACCTTTGTAATGTCTTTCTATTGTTTGTTGTTTACTTTGTATTATGTTTGTGCCAACCTTTGCCATGTGTTTCATGCTAATTGTTTTGTTTGTATCTTCGTGTTATTTTCACTTTGTTTTACGATTGTTACCTGAAAAGGCCGCCGACCGTCGAGAGTAAAACCAATGTTTAGTTTAGTCAGTCAGTACGCAACCTCGGTACCGGTCGGACGCCTTGAAGGCCCATCCTCGCGCTTACACAATACAGTTACCGTCTTACCAGTCTATATGAACTTTTATTTATAAGAACCTACGAACCCTGCTACCCGAGTATAGAGCGCCGACAGTGGTGACCCCGACGTGATCTTACGTGTTTTATTGTGCGCTTAGGGTTTTATCAGGGTTCAGGTTCGCGCCGCGCAGTGGATAATTTCGCGCAGTGATAATTTCGCGCAGTGATAGTTTCGCGCAGTGACAATCCATAGACTTACTGACATTCTTCGTGATTGTGTGAGTGTAAACAGCGTAACGTTAAAATGGCTCATGAAAATACCAATGTCAACGGGCCCGCCAAGAATTTCCCATGGCTGCAGATGGCACAATTCAACACATCGGACCCCGAGTCTTGGATGGATTGCGCGGAGAGCTTCTTGAGTATGTCAAAGGTGACAGACCCAACAGAAAAGTGCTTGTACATAATAAGCAAGATGGACTCTCACGCCCTCAGAGAGGTAAGAGACCTCATAACTGGCCTCTCAGTCGTCACAGTGGGGCAATATGAAGATCTGAAGAAGAGGATAATTAAAAGGTTCGGCGAATCCCAGACAGTGAAAACTCAGAGGCTTCTGGAAGGAGAGGAGATCGGTGACCGAACGCCGTCACAGTTCCTGCGGCATCTCAAATCGTTAGCGGGCAGCGCTATGCCTGAAGACGTGTTGCGAGTTATTTGGACGAAGGGCCTACCTACCGACATGCAAGCAGCTGTCGTGGCCAAGAGAGATACGCCACTCGACGCACTTGCCGACATTGCAGACCTCGTAGCAGAAAACGTTAGGCTACGGTGCACGAGGCCATCGCCCCCGGTAGCAGCGATCTCCACACACGACACTGATGAGCGTTTACGCCGGCTGGAAGAAAACATGTCGCTCCTCATAAAGAACTTGCAACAGGCACAAGTAAGCGAGGTAGATGCGAGAAGTAGCAGGCCACGCGGTCGTGCGAACTCACGCTCGCGAACACCATCACGGTCTAGAACTAGACCAGCGGACTGGCTGTGTTGGTACCATCATCGCTACGGTGCACAAGCGAGGAAGTGCATTGAACCATGCCCCTACAACAAACCACAGCAGGGAAACGCCAGCGGGAGTCATTAACGGCGGGTGACGCAATTTCCCACACACCTACACGCCGCATCTTCGTTACCGACAAGGCCAATAATGTAACGTTCCTCATTGATACAGGGGCCGACCTTTGCGTATACCCTAAAGCACTAGTCCCTACGGCTTGCAAAGCTTCTGCCTATGGATTAGTCGCCGCCAATGGAACTTCAATAACCACGTATGGTACTATCGCACTGACCTTGAACCTCGGGCTTCGAAGAGACTTCCCATGGATTTTCGTGGTAGCGGATGTACAGAAACCCATTATAGGTGTAGATTTCCTCGCTCACTACAACCTGATGGTAGATGCAAAAAATAAGAGGTTGGTAGACGCGATCACTCATCTTACGGTCAATGGACATGTGGCTGAGTGTGAGCAACTCACTGTGAAAACTTTAAGTGGAACATCACCTTACCTCGATCTACTGTCCAAGTATGTTGCGATAACACGACCAGACGGAGCCATGCAGGAGGTAAAGCACGGAACGAAACACCACATACTGGTGACGCCAGGACCTCCCGTAGCACTCAAACCGCGAAGGCTCGCTCCCGATCGTCTTAGAGCTGCCAAGAAAGAGTTTGATTCGATGGTAAAACTTGGCATCGCTCGTCCATCGAAAAGCCCGTGGGCAGCGCCCTTAGTTATGGTAACCAAGACGACCACATCCTCCACGCCAGAATCCAGTTCATCACCGATTCCCGGAAGTGAAAAGGAGACTGAAGAAAAACATCGTCCATGCGGTGACTACCGAGCTTTGAATGCAAGAACAGTGCCCGATCAGTATCCAGTGCGTCACATTCAAGACTTCGCACAGTGTTTAAGTGGTAGTAAAGTGTTCTCAAACCTTTCCGAGTTGATTTGCCTGCTATATGACCTGAGCTTTGCTTTAAAAAAATGACCCTTAGTCATCTAAGATTTAATTTTGTATGAAGAAGTTTAATAAACACTTAAAATTGTGTTTATAATGCTATCAATTAGACATACGTGCCAAAAACTTTTCCTGTCAGCACGTTTTTTTTCTAGCGCGATGATTTCTGCAATGTACCGGTGACCGGTGTATGGCCGCGCATTTACGTAATTTTTTGGAACTCACTACTTTTTAAATTACATTTTCATTTAGGTAGAACTGTTGCTTAGGCATTATAGATTGCAACAAAACTAGCGCGGGATGGCTACTGCCTTCTGTGAATACAATACTTTGTATTCAAATTTTACGCATGTGTTTATGGCAGCTCAGTGAAATGGACGAAAACCGAAGTTAGATAGAAAACCAGCACAATGACCCTACTTTCAAAAATTAATATTGCGATTTTATAAATCACTTAAACAACTTTATATTAATTTGCGGGTACGCCGGGACAGCTCGTAAAACAAATTCATTATTTACATATTACTAATTTATCAACTTTGTTCATTGTTAGTTCATTAGTTGTTCGTGTTTCGTTTGGGTTAGACCAAGAGCCGAATGCAAAAAATAAATGTTACTTAATTATATTAATCCTACAAAAAACGGACGGACGTGTGCAAGTCTAATAGCCATATACTTGGTTAACTCATTTTAAAAAGTGCACAAAAACGTTCTATGTTCAGACAGACTATATGACGAATCTATAAGGGTTCCGTTTTTGCCATTTGGCTACGGAACCCTAAATACCGTATCAAAATCTGTTGCATAGTTTTAAAGATCTAAGCATACTACGAGTAACTGATCATAAAATGTTATTCCAATCGCTCAAGCTCCCGAGGATCTACCGATAGGTCGGGTGACGTAATCTTGAAATTATTTTAGCCGGCGCGGAACTTCCGGAAGGTCGGGTGACGCCACGCCTCTTTGAACCGTGTTTACTTTGGCAGTTATATTCTATATTTATTCGATTCTAAAATATATTCCGAAAAATTTTGAAAGTTGTTTTAATTTGTATCACTTGGATATGATTTGTATTAGAAAGTGCTGTGAGTGTGACGCTTGAACGGAAGGAAGTCAACCTAACCTAACCAACTGCGTATTTCTAAACTGCGTATTTCTATACTGTGTAGCCGCGAGAGCTCTTTGGCGCGCTGTCTTCGGCGAAGTATTGCGCGCGCAGATTTTGACAGCGCGAAATACCTACTTTAGCAGAAATACCAAGCCTTAAGACATTTGCTTTTGAATCTTATGTTATCTCACTAAAGTTCAATACATCGTGTTACTGGAAGGCTAAAATCGTCAGATCTGCGAGTGAGACGATTCGTAATGACTATCGAAAACAGCTTGTAGACATGGCTCAGAAGTGAGATAGGTCAATAATTTTAAGGTTTTGTTGCTGGTTGTCCCAGTAACTTTTCGGTGCCTTATTTTTTTCGTGGTAAAAAAATGGTAAGCGTATTTTTTTAGTTTAACATAATAAGGTAGCAACCTAATTTTTATTATCTAAGAATACTACCATTCATAAAAAATAACAGCCTTTATGTATATTCATAATATTAACTTTTAAATGAAGCAAACGTGATGTCACTGTCCATACAAACAGAATTATTTAACATCCATTGTTTCTAAATATCATTAAAATGACTACAGATGATTCAATCAACTGTCATTAAACCTTATCATTGTCTTATTTTAAACACAAACTAATCTCTATTTCCAAACCTTGACTGTACCGTGACGTTAACTGTTCGAACCTCTGAATCATCACAATCATGATCAATTTGGCAAAAGCAGGGCGACTGAGTCACAAGGACGTAACTGTGACGTCATACCGGAATAGGCTGTCTGACGTAACAAACGATCTAAATCTAATGCTTCTGGCCGTTTTGCTTAGCGTGAGAAAAACAACAAGTTTGTTTCGATAGCACATAAATGAGGGTTTTCGCGAATGAAAAATCCGCCAGATGGCAATACGTAGACGCGAGGTCCAAATGCTGCATGATTGGTTATTTTTGACATGACATTGACAGATATGTCAAAATCCACCAATCACGCAGCAGTCAGACCCTACATCCACGTCCCGCTATCTAGTGGATCTTTCATTCGCGAAAACCCTCATTCAAACTGCATGGTATCTTATGTTAAGGTTATAGGGGTGATATAAAAAAATTCACATCTGCTGTTGAATCTACTAGCTGAGATTATTTCAAATAGCGCCGTGAGTCTTGGACTAACTACATCGAACATTTTACAGTAGTTAATGATACATAAATGATACTAACCAGCTTGAAGCAAGCTTCTGGCGTCTTCCCTGGCCTTCTCTTGGTCCACGTGGAAATCTTCGGCTCTGTTACCCTGGAAATAAAGAAAATAATACTTATTTTAACACTGAGGAGGCAAATTAGGGAGTAAAAATATTTAACATCCCGCGAAAGTAGCTATAATGGCGATTGTTTTTCGACTTTGAATACAGACGAATAAGGATCAATATGGTAGTTACAAATATCTCCCCTTCAGTAATTTGAAATTGCATCGCATAACCATCGCTGCTGTGTAAAAATTGCGTTTTATTTGTCATGAAATAAGAGCGACTTTAACTAAAAATTTTACACAAACAACATTATTAATGGAATATCTTTGCCGGTATATTTATCAACAAAGCATTGTGACCTTGTTCAATACCATTCAGCTACATAAAAAGTTTTCATTCAACGAATGAATCTATTGCACCATAATATCCGTATACGTCACAGAGGCAAGATCGTTTCTGCTTAGTACTGGCTGATTGTCATCGCGACTGATCTTGCGCAGGGTCATTACTCATTGCACGTAATCATGACGTAGAACAGAAACATTTTGTTTTGTTTTTTTTAATCCTTAATGATTAATGTCATACGCATTTTGATGTACAGCCAGCGTCAAGTTCGTGACGCTCAAAGTTGCCAAAAAGATTGCAATACGTCTTTGTTACATTGCAATAAGTTTGTGTTATCAAATTTTTAGCCACTTTAGGTGTCACGTACTATTATCGCTAACTGTTTGTATGTCAATTCGTAAAATGCCTGTTAATTGAATTTGCAATAAAACTTACTTCGATAATTTTACTCAACCTATTATAATACAGGGCAAATTATGTATTTTTTACCCGACTGCGCCAGAAAGAGGAGGATTAGATAATATTTAAAATGTTTATAACTACGTGTGTGAATTGGTTGTAATAATCATGAACCATCCATGTAGCATTTAACAAATAGATATTGACTAACCGATTTCACACGGGCAAAATAAAACAAACTCAACATACATATTTGGCAGATTTTAGATTGTGTAATGCATTTTTGTACGTCTATATCACTTCCTTAGTTGGTAAACTTAATTGCATAATCTTTGACTAGTTGTGTAGTTATATGAATTGAGGTTTTAACATAAATTGTTGCTAGGCCAAACAGTGGCGTACGCTGGTATGTCAATATTTTTTCTTGTAGTTCAAGTACGTTGTGTAAAAGGAAAACGCGACACTTACCACGACTAGTGACGTCATCAGCCTCTTGAAGTTGCCCGAAGTGTCGCCTCGTAAGTCGTCCTCCAAGAACGTACCATACACTGTGGACAAATAATGTGTTATCAGGAAAATGACAAGTTGTTTTTAACTCTATAACAAACAGCAAGTCCAATTTCTTTGGACCTTAGCAAGTGACAATAAAGTTCAAAACACAATGGCGATAATGGCCCATTAAAAGGTCAAGGTTGAAAAGCAGATCTCAAAATTTTCCTTTTGTAGAAAAAGGAGGCGTATTCATGAAGCTTTACAATTCCGATTTAAATGTAAATGTGTAAGAATTCGTATACAATTTTGAGTGATTTCCATTGGTTCAGAAAAACGTTTACAGCCCCCCTAGACAAAACGCACTTTTTGATCGAATCGAAAATCGAATCCGTCAAAACTCCATACAAAAAAGTGGCTTTTCGACCACTTTTCGACTGGTTTGCGATTATAATTTGCACTTTGTCTAGAACCACAGGACGTCCATTTGAACTGTCAGATGACATTGTTTATTTGTTTGTGTTTAAAAGATATAATACTTTCGTTGAAAAAATATCTATAGACTCTGACTATTTGACTGTTCATGCTGTACCATACAAGAACGGTGAATATTCCCTCTATTTGGATACACTCTGGTTAAATGATGGTGCTTATCAGACTATTCCCACATCGGAATTCGAACCCGCAACCGCTTTCGACATTGTATATGTACCACTAGGTCAGTTGACTGTCGAATTAATATGTTTCATGCGTTTGAACTTGTATTGAGTGAATAAATCATTGGACGTGGTTGAGTGACTAAAATGTTAAGTTATAAAAGCTGTTATTAGTACCTTAACGTCAATATAAACTGGTAACAGATATTTCTTACAAGTACATGATGAAAGTAAATACACTCAACATCAAATAAACCACACCTTCCGCGACGCGAACTTTAAAGATTTTCTTCTGACACAATCATGGTACCCCAACAATATTGGTGTTATTTGAAAGCCCAATAAATATCCTTAAAGAAAAACACATTTAATTTCTTAATAAATGATTAACATGTACCATAAATGTGACTTGAAAAAAAACCTCACTTTGGGCTCATCTCTGGGATCAATTAGACCAAATTTTATGGTTATAAAACCAAATAATGATCACACGTGTCCTCTTTAACAGATGGATAGCGATTAATCCCAACTTAACAGTTTTAAAGCCATAAAAGTTGGCTCAAGCGTAACTACCTATTTTTTGAAGAAGTGACTCTGGATCCTTCTAAAGACACATTTTTGGGATAAAAATCTTTCCTTTAATGAAATGAAATTTAGAACTAGGCTTTTAAGTGGTGCCAATATTGGTGGGAAGTGGGGATGCACACGTTTGAAAGTGCTTGTCGCGGGAGGTGCAATTTATTTGATGTCGAGTGTATAAATGACATGAAAAACAAGACCAAGGGAAAGCGGAAAAAATCGATAAGACGAATAATATTTGGCACAATTCCAGTATTCGCATAGCTTTCCTTTCCGACTTGTGCTATAAATAGGAACCATCCATATAAATAAAGGAAGTCATTAGGGGAAACCCTTTTTGATGACTGGTGAGTCATCGCCCTGACGTTGTGAGAACAGTCACTGTTATAATAAATACAGATTGCACGCTGTGTAAATGTTGTGAAATAAATTGTATAAATAAGAGATTACAGTAAAGTTATTTTGATAAAGTATGAATAATTGGATTGTTGATCATTGAATATCATTTAAAAATACTGTATTTTATCATACCAGTTGGTCTTCTAAGAATCAAATTGAAGAGAGTAATGACTCACAGGAAACTTTAGGGTATTAAATATCCTTCTGGTCCTTTCTGGAGCTGAGTAACAAAACGTATTTTGTACTTCACTAAAATGCGAATTAACTAGCTAGTAGGTTACCGGTCAATCTATATCTATACTAATATTATGGATTACTAATGTTTGGCCAAAAAACGTTTCCCAAATTATCACATCGCAAACAACGTTTCGCAAATTTTCATTTGGCAAATTCTTATTTGGCAAAACAACTTATTGCAAACTTTTAATTCGCAAATGTCGTTTTTGGCATATTCTTGTTTAGCAAATTATTGTTTGGCAAAGTATGTTTTGCCAAATGTTTCATTTGGCAAAAATACTTCACGATAAACTATTTACAAAACAATTTGATTGGTGCATAGAATGGAATACAAATTAGCTTGTGGTTATTATTTTGTTTAGTGGGTAGTTAATATAAAATTTGTTCTAAATTAATTTTCATAATTTCATTCTTTTTATCGAAAGGATGATGGGCACTTTTCTATGGAATCTGGGCGTAAAACCAACAGAAATGTAACTACTATTATTTGTTAGGACTTAATATCAGAAATATATTTTCATATAAATAACTACCAAAAACTCCCGGGTTTGCTTGGAAATTGACATAATGTGTAATAGTAATAGGTGCTTTATTACGCAAACAAAAAATATTTAATATACTTATCTACTTACATTTTAAATACATTAAGTTATTTATCCATTATTATGTCCAACAGTTCAGGAGTGGGGCCAACAAATGGTTTATTTAAACCATGTTCTACATTATAAGCGTAGGACCATATCTAGGTACCATTTAGAGAAATGACATGAACACAGTCATGTTTCAATGGGATTTCTACCAGTTAAGTTGTTGTGTTGTCGCATAATCGATCACGAATCGATTTATTAATCGAATTGCCAAAAAACGATTTATCGATTAACAATTCGATTAATCGATTTTATTGATTACCATCATTACTGTCATTTTATTGTTAATTCAATTCCTTATTTTCAGCAATATAATCGATTATTGCAATCGAATAATCGATTATGGTTTATTCGGTATACATACTTACTAAATCGATAGAATCGATAGTAAGATATGATACAATACTCTCAATATGATCGATAAAAGCAATGTAATTGACCTAATACTATTTTTATTACCCTAATGTGATGTGAAATACTATGGAAACTTTGCATATTCAACGACCTCTATCTCCGTATCCCCGCGTATTTCAGGGTTGTTGTCATACTATGAAATGAAGTACTAGTATTAAGCTTTAATTTAGTATACTTTTTGTTTCTGTTGGTTTAACGCCCAATATGCCCATCATCCTTTCCAAATTATTCATTAACAATAGAGGTGATTCTAGCGCTCGGCGGCCGCTGCCGCGGCACGCTTCGCTCGCCTTCGCGCGTTAAGGGTCACTGTTCTAACCTAACCTAACCTACTATTTTCTGCAATACCTACTTTCTGCAACCATACTGTTTTCTGTAAGATTTTCTGTAAGAGATCTTTGTTTTACATAAAATTCTTGTGAAAACCACGATCATGTGCCTTATGCTTTGATTTGTGGGTAACGGTGGGTATGTGAAGTGTCAATTTGACCAAACAAATTATTTGGCATATAATATTTGGCAAAATAAAACATTTGCTATACAAACATTTGCCAAGTAAAATTTTGCCAAATGATAATTTGACTAAATGAATTAGTTGCGAAAAGTACATTTGCTAAAAGTTCATTTGGGAAATGAAACTTTGGCGATAAGTTGTTTGCGAAGTGAAATTTGGCGAAAAGTAATTTGGCCAAACGGAAGGATACCTAATATTATAAATGCACTCTCTCTCTCTCTCAAAGTAACTCTGTCTGTCTGTCTCGCTTTCACGCCTAAACCACCGAACCGATTTTGATTAAATTTGGCATAGAGATAGTTTGAGTCCCTGGAAAGGACATAGGATAGTTTTTATCCCGGTTTTTGAAACAGGGACGCGCGCGATAAAGTTTTTCTGTGACAGACAAAATTCCAAGCGGGCAAAGCCGCGGGCGGAAAGCTAGTATCTTATAATAGGCCGTGCAGTGATTCCACACAACAATAGAACTTAACCTCATGCAATATTCATTATTTTTCTACAAACAACTGTTGAAGTGTTGCTCCGATTCCGCCATTTGCTTTCACTCAATTCTTACTCATTGTAGTTCTCAGAACGTTAGCATCTAATTTTAAACCTTACAACACTCGTAATAAGCGTCTAATTTTAAATTGTAGCGTCGGAAACAATTCATTAGACGTTCACAAGATCATGACTCCAAGGACGGTTTACATGTCGCGAGAATCTAGTTTCATTGTAATTTGTAGTATCGCCTAGCATGGGTAATGGGCAATAATGGGTTTATCCTTACTCGGAAGGTGTAATAAGTTATAAGTACCGACGACAGCATATCAAGTTAAATACAGTCTAATTCTACGCAATCTTAAGCAGAAGGAGCTATATTGCAACAAAACTGTGCAGTTTGTTGACATTACATAAGAAGAAGGCAAATAATATAGCATCTTTTTATATTAGCACGTATGTAATAAAGCGACACCTTGATGACATGACCATTTCCGATCATAATATAGATAATAAATATAGTGTAGCAGAATAAGGTCAGGTTATTATGTTAGTGCTGATACTGGAAGCATGTGAGGTAAACATGTCAGTCAACATAGTACCGCTATGTTTGTAGTACCGTGAAGTTACAAGGTCAGGTCAGTTTGATAAATGAAGCTAATTTTGGTAAGTGACTCAGAAAATTCACCATAAAGTTACGGAGATTTTAACTTATGAAACACATGTGGTCAAAAGCCTGTATCGTCACATTTGTGTACCGCGACTTTCGAATGTTTTTTCGCTGTCACTCATGCCGGCACCTCTGAGTGAGTGAGAGAGAGTGAGAGAGTTTAAGGTCAATATGATGAAAGTGATGAATCACCACTCTTCTATCGATTCTTAAATACCCAGACGATGGCCCATTAGGTAAACACTGTGGCACCTTATTACACGTAGTAGGTACCAGAAATATGTTTCCGTAATTCGTACCTAGTATGTACCCAGAGTGACTGACTACCTGATTAAGCGAAAGGACGTGGGTTCGATTCCCACCTTAGACAGTTCGATTTTTTCAAGTTATTAGAGACAATAAATCAAAAATTTACCATAAAACAATAATAACGGTAAGGGAAAGTCACGAATTAAGAAGCATGCATTCATTGTGTAAAGAGAGGTTAACAAACCGTTTGTCTCTAACAATACAAGACCTAGTTTGCACTCTCAGAACTGCAAAAGTTTAGTACTCACTAGCTGTATACGCCTGCTTGATGACCTGGATCTCATGGTTGGACATGGTGCACATGACCTCAATGAGCACATCTTCGTCGGTTCCAATCCCAGCTGTGGCATCGTGGAGTTCCTTAGCGTAGAACTGAGGAAGTGGTGTCATCAGAGCCACGAGCAGGTCTTCGAATTTCCCACTGGTTTCGCTCTTCAGGTCTGATACTAAGTCCTGTGGAAAGAAACGGTTTTTGATCAGTCTGGCCTAAATATGAATTTACTAGACGTTTTTCCGTGCGTGCAGCGTGGGATTTTCATCCACAAGGTAGACCGACGACCTCATAAAGGGCTACCTTTATGAGGTCGTCGGTCCACCTTGTGGATGAAAAGCGCCTTGAGCAGGAAGGCGCTGCATGCGTTGGATGCAGGCCGCTACCAACCGGGTGGTATGGAAATCATTGTGGGAAACCTATGTTCAGCAGTTGGAATTCTGTGGCTGAAATGATGATGAGACGTCATTTTCACTAGGATACTCTCTCTTTATACCAAATTCGAAGACGATAGGTGATCTAAGTCGCAAAACAGATAAAAGAAACAGGCACATGAAAGTTATCAGGTCATGCCACTATAGAACCTTGGGGGTTTCATATTTTTCTACTAATTAATAGTGGCGAATTACAAACATTACACACCTACAGACTTTCCAGCCACGTTTTCAATTTCATTAAGTAAGTGTTCATTAACAAAAGTACTCGTATAATATATGGGTAGGTAACTAATATCGGCCTCGTATGTAACTATCACCGGTGGCTATCAAATATCGAATATTAATAAGTATATTGTTTACATGTCACTTTCTAATCTAAGGAAAGGTGACATTCATACGAGTATTACGTGTGTGTTGGAAAATGGTAATATTGAATTGGAAATTGGATCTTTATAATTGACAGTTATGGGTGATGAGCACAGATCTATCCATTTATTTCAAGATCGATATTGGTATAATTCAATAATATAAAAAAGACTCTAACAATGAAAAAAAATGACCAGGCTCATTCAATCATTCCGAAATTGAATGATTTACGATGTATGTATGTATACTATACATACATTCTATAGATATACAAGCTCTTTTGAATCATTCATTTTCTAGTGACAGATTCTGAAGGGTGTAGACACTTATCAACATGTAAACAGTGTCTCGAACACTTTATGAAACGTTCAACTACGCATGCTTATCTTATGTCTACATTTAACTTGCTTTCTTTGCTGTACGTAACACAGCAGCACAAGTTGTAGGAGTATGTATGTTAATTCAAAAATACTTGCAGGAATAGGAAGACTTCAAAAAATATCTCAGTAACAATAATAGCCAAGTTAATTTTTTTTTATTCTTGTTGTTGAATTATGACGTTATTCATTAACTAACATTCGGAATTTTAAACGAACAATCATTATCATTTATTAACCACAGTCAGATATTACAGCCGGTTAAAAACCATTTACCTATACTGACGATAACCGCGGTATGGAGGAAATAAACTCAAAATTATGTTAGTTCAACTGTTTAAATATTGTTCATTTAATAATATTAATTACTTGGATAGTTAACTTCATTTTCATGCATAGTTTTGAATTTCCTCGTGTAATATTTTTAAAATTATGAGTCTTAGATCCTTTTCGCAATTTTGTGGTTTTAGCGACTAGTAGTTGGAATCGCGGAGTAACTAGTGGCTAGAAAATATGCGTTTACTTCCACAAATCCTCATCAGTACCTACTAATTAAAATTGGAAGTAGGACGTCCACCCTAAGGTGGGTCGACGACCTCATAAAGGTAGCAGGAAGGCGCTGCAGGCCGCTACTAACCGACCATTATGGAAATCATTGGGCCTATTTGTATAGTGGACGTCCTACGGCTGAAATGATGATGATGAATTAAAATTTTAGATCTTACCTTTCCATAAAGAGTTTTGAACTCGAACGCGATCCTCAGACGTTGCTCATTGCTGCGTCTCGTCAGGACTTGAATGATGGCCTTTTCATCAGTCCCAAAGCCCTTCATAGCCTTGCGGAGGACCGCCGCATCTTCGCGGGGGTCGAACGGGTTCACCGGGACCACGGTGGGTTTGGACTGAAAAACAATTGAAGATCAAACTTGTTTCTTTTTTTGGAAAATGAAAAAGTTGACAGTGTTTAGTAATTTGAGGCGTTGTAAAAAGTGAAAGTGGAACTGTTTTGCGATTAGCTGATGAATGATGATATTTATTATAATACTTGGGTGCTGCATAGATAAGAGAGATGTCTTTGTAACGTCCTTTGTATGTTTAATTCCTTTTTTAAGGGTCATATTTAAAAGCGTTTATCTACCGTTGGTTAAGGAAGTATGTAAGTACCAACTCATTAAGCTTTACCCTAAATAGGTAGGAAGAATGGTAGTTCATTTGGTTAAGCAATGAATACAGGATTATCTTAATGATTTTGAATATAATTTTATACATTTGCTAGGAAACTGCTCAGTTTAAATTGTATACAAACATCCGGTCTGATGGTAGATAGGTACTCCATAATGTGCACTAAACAAAGCGTACATACATACCCATGATTATTTCATTGTACCTACTTTCCAAAAAACCCGCTAGAGATAAGGACAAAACTTATTTCAAATCATCAACAATAATAACTCTGTTAATGACCAGTAAGTGATTAGACAAAAATGAGTAAATCAATTGTTTAACTGAATCACTTATCGTTCAAACGATTAGCGGAACAATCATTGCATTAGTGTCGACGGACCAATAAAAATAAAACTACATAAATACCGTGTAACGAAATGACTTGAACCCACGCCGTAGACCAATTGTGGCTCTGTACGCACTGCGCATACTTGAATTCGAAGTTACAGAGGACATATTAATTACCACAACAAAAGTCTGGTGAAAACGACAAGAAAGTCCAACAAACACAGTCACATCACTATTCGAGGCTATCACTGGACAAAGGTTCACCCCAAGTGGGATTTGGAGATGGTTTCCAAAATCGCCACATCCATTGTCCTAGGAACCAATTCCGAGACTGAATATACGGTATACGATGCGACAGACGCTCGGAGCGAAGTGACCATAACAATATAATTGCTTCGAACCGTTCCTTGAATAGAGTCTCTGTACATGTAGGTACTGCCCGCCTCCTGTTAGTGGGCTGACTGACTGTATTATTTACCTTACGAGCATTGGCTGATGCTTCTCAATGATATTTAAAGAATTAGAAAACAGAATAATTTGTTTTGCACCAGAAAGGATACTCTCGGATATTTACATCCCGCTATGGGAGATCAGACAACGGATTTTAAGGAGGATCGAGCGTCTTCTGGTAGTCCATTAAGGATCGATTTCTCGATAAGAAATGGGAGCTATAATCAAATGTGTTTAAGGCAACTTCATCGTAGGCAAGATACACGTACTGTTCTGTATAAGTATACCTAAAGAAGACTATCCAGGATGTAACTCAATCAGGGACATATTTTATGAACCCCTACCCTATGTTATTTTACAAAAGGCACACACACGCTTCTTATCAAATTTGCATTCTTGGACTCAAAGGCGTTTTGAATATGCACAAATAAGATAACAGAAACGGGTTGAAAAGACCAGACCAGACTGGAATTTCCTTTTGAACAGGTTCTTTGGAGCGGATATGACCAACCCATCATAAAGGGAGCTGGTTTTCAGACAAAAAACAAACATTAAATAAAGGGGTTATTAAGATCCAATTTTGCGAATGGTAGACAAATTTCGGACACTGCCATTAGTTCGAGGCGGCCTTGACCGGAATATTGTCATCGCTTTTACTTCGTTCGCGTCAATGTTTCAAATGGCTCTGGGTCGCCATATTGTTTTATTGGGTATACCAAATAAAAATCATCTTATATAACATCATTTATGCTAACTAAGCAGCAACTTATATTTCTTGCAAGCTGTTTATACCTCTAAGTGATAGTGCAATTAGCTTAATATTTTGCGTATTTTTTAACATATTGTGTATTGTTGTACCTATCGTTGGTGTACCTAATCTATACTTATAATAAATCTGTAGCGAGGTCAATTCTGTACATGAAATATATTTTCAAAATAACTATCAGGGGGTAATTAGCGATCGATACTGATGCCAAAAATGCAATCAGTAAAATTTTTGTCTGTCTGTCTGTATGTTCCTTATAGAAACAAAAACTACTCGACGGATTTTAACGAAACTTGGTACAATTATTCTTCATACTCCTGGGCAGGTTATAGTATACTTAGGAATTCCCACGGGAACAGGAATTAGCGGGAAATTCCTTTTGTATGAAAAATCTAAACCGCTTAAGTTACACGCTTGAAATTTGGCATGCAGGTACCTTAGTAAAATTAAAGTTTAGCTACAACAGGATATTGCAAAATTCCTACGGGAACGGGAGTTAGCGGGAAAAAACATTTGTATGAAAAATCTAAACCGCTTAAGTTAGACGCTTGAAATTTGTCATGCAGGTACCTTAGTGAACTTAAAGCTTAGTTACAACAGGATATTACAAACTTCCCACGGGAACGGGAGTTAGCGGGAAAAAGCATTTGTATGAAAAAATCTAAACCGCGTAAGATAGGTGAAGAGGGTAAAACGGGATCCACGCGTACGAAGTCGCGGGCGGCCGCTAGTAAATAAATAAATAAATAAATAAATAAAAACAGAGCTGTTACCACATTTACTGTGGAAGACTGGAAGAAAACCTAGCTGGTTTAAACCAGCAGACTAAGGTTCAGCATAAAATTGAAATCATGCTAATTTAACTAGCTCAACGCTTAATTAAATTAGTATCACAGAAAGGGAAAAGCAACAGCAACTACCACTAAAAGATATAAATTCCCAAGGTCATTGATCATACCGTAAGTTGATTACCGCTTAAGTCGAATGCTAATCTCCACAATTAGAGTCTGTTCGTTTGGAAAGTTTCATGATGAATTTGTAAACAAATGTGCTATTCGTTTTCAATTTAAAAGGCAAAGTTGATATAACAACCAATATTATTATGACATTCTGATATAATAACGTAAAGTTCAAGTAAAGGTCTTGTCACCTGCTCATAAATAAACAAGTTCAAGAGTTTTAACAAAGACTATTAATAATAACTATCCTAAATTGGAATGAGTTCCATACAACGTTTGTATGTTTATTAATGTTATAACAAATTTGAATTTTCAATTAAAAAAAAAGGCCAACCTATTCGCCCACACCAATAAAGATTCAACTGGTTATAGCACTATTCAGGAAATATGTATTTAAATATTTCTTAGCAAAAACAATTCAATTTTATTCATATTAGAATATCTAGTCAGTGATATTTTAGTAACTTGTTTTTTTTTAAATCTGCTAAATTGTTCTTAAATCCCTGAAATAGCATCCTGAAATAGCGTTCCTTTCAGCTTAACTGTACACAAACAAGATACAGTAGTAGATGAAAATAATATGAATAAAAAGACCATTATTTTTAAACATACAACAGTTACTGTGCATACAAAGACGTCAAGTACCAGCAAAAAGATACATCATCAAAAGGTTTTATACAACTATCCACTTGTTGACTTGCATTTCACTTCAATAATATGTGTTCGTCATACTCCATTAATATGATTATTATTATAATAATAAAACAATGACACATCCTTAATAGTAAACAGAAGCTTGTTAAAATGTAGTGTTTAATGAAGTGAGTAATCCAGCTCCTATTATCTATTTTTAAGCTCGGTATAAATTGAATTTTAATTTTTAGACGTTATGAGTGCTTAAATTCCTCAGCATTATAAAATCACATAAATGAGCAAAATGAAAAATATGTTAAGCCTTAGTCCATACAAAAGGTTAGAAAGCACAGCAAGCCACAATGTTTTGCTTATCACAAATGAAACCATGATTTTTATATCAATAGTAATGATAAGTTAGCATGTGTAAACAATAACATTTAAATGTGTAACCATTAAATCAAGGCTCCAGGGTTTATTAATTTGCCAGTTTAATGTTAAAATTGCAAGATAAGGCTTGGTGTAGTCATAAATGGAAAATAAAGATTGCACAGATATATTTTTTAAAATAATTAGGTGAATGTTAACATACCTTTGGTGTACTAGGCACAGAAGCAGTGGCACTGTAAGCTTGACTTTGAACACACTGCTGGCTTTGCGGGTAGCCTTGATACTGGTTTTGCTGCCCATAGCTTTGGTTAGCTTGTGGATAGCCCGCACTGGCTTGTGGATACCCCGGTTGAGCAGATGGGTATGATTGAGTTGGGTAACTTTGAGCAGGGTTAGAATGAGCCTGATGGGGGTAAGCTTGACTGGGGTACCCTGGCCCAGGTTGATTTGGGTACCCTGGGCTAGGTTGCGGATAACCAGAAGGCTGTGGGTACCCTGAATTCGGTTGAGGATAACCAGGACTCGCCTGAGGGTAAGCGCCGGTATAACCGGGCTGTGCCGGCGGGTAGCCCATAGTTGAAAGTCCCGGCATCGGCATCGGATTGCCAAAGGACTGTGGGGCCCTGTTGCCGAATCCAATATTGTGCATATACTGCTGTTGTGGGTATCCCGACTGACCCTTGAAACGAAACGAAAATGTCATTGAACTCATTTGTGATAAACAAAACATCTCTATCCCATATTTAATTTTATAACCTAGAAAAGTTCACTTACTTGCTGGTACGGATTCATTTTGAAGATTTAGCACAAAACACTGACACACAAGTTTCGATGCGGACTGCTTGCTTTTAAATGAAATTAATAAGTGACGAAGAGTGAGTGAATACAACTTGATGACTCAGTCTCGTTGGTGGTTCACGATAAGCGGGGTAAAACAATCCGCCTGGACCGCCTCCGTTAATGATGACGTGAAACTTGACTATTGTACTGACTGCTTCTAGTTTTGTCGTGCCTCTTCTCAATAAAAAACCAATAAAAAAAACTCGCAAAAAATCTTGCACTAAGCTCTTGCTTAGCGGGAAATTATTTTTTGATTTGGCCACACAAAAAGTGACAGTTCGTGTCACTCATGTCGATTAAGGATGTGAAAAATGTATCGAGTTTGAAATATCAATTGAAAACTATTTATGATTATTGTATTTTAACAATATTATTTTGCGTTGGTGAACATTCCTAGCAAATTCGTTAAAGTGTAATTATGTACTTGAATAAACTTAAGCATTTTACCTTTCTATTGGCTCAAACAATCTATTTTTTTAAGATTTGGGACCTCCTCTATGGGAGGTTTATCCCTGGCAATGTCAAGTATTAATTGATACTTTGTGATAGAACATGGGTGCCAGCGTGAATCTGATTGAACGGAAAGATCGACCATGCTTTCCATTCAATTACCCTTCACGGAATCCACAATCTCTATATGAATTTTGTTAAAATGTATATTATATAGCCTGACCAGGAACATAAAAACCCTCGCCATGTTGCGGAAAACTATTGGTACTAATATCTTTTAATGGCAACAGTAACTGAAAACTTCATTGACATGTCACCTTGCATGTCAGTCAATTGCTGTCAAAGTGTAAACAAACTTTATTTTAAATGTGCGCAATTGATTTTGTGAATTAAATTGCTAAAATCTTTTTATAGTCGTGAAAGAAAAGTGGTTCACAATGTGTTAAAGTCTTTGTCGAAGAGAAATACTAAGGGTTCGGATAATATTTTCATTGAATAATGTTTCCGACAAAGGTTGTCAAATTGACTGACATGTTTATCGTATAGTACAGTCCACTATGAAAATTAGGTGTGGTTTGTTTCAACTACCTATTTTAAATTTTTTGTTACTTTAGTGTTGAATTTTATGGAATTGGGAAAGAAGTACCGAGTTTGATGCGTTCATGAGCAGACATTGCAGTTGAATATTCAAGTTCTGAATTTGATTATTGATGAATATTAAAATAAATCCTACCAGCTCGATTGATGGTTTCATTTAATTTATTTAAACCAGGTTACCTATAATAATATTTTTTCGTTAATTTATGAAAATATCAAATTAGCCCGTAATCCTGAATCCTGATACACAAAGTTAGCCTATTAATTTAACACAGGTACGACTGTACTCAGTGTTGCACTATCAAATGCAATTGACGCGCCTCTATGTCAAGGTTTTTATGTTCCTGGTCAGGCTATACATAATATTTATAGCTCATAGTCCGATTTTTAGTTCGGTGGAATTCTGACAGCTGTCATTTTTGACAATTCAGATGTTATAAATAAGCCTTTTTTACTTTGAATTATAAATAAAAAATATGAAATGAAATTACATCAAGTACAACTGCTTACAAGAATGAAATATTGTTTGTTTTGTAAATTCTATGTACAGTAATTATTGATTACAATTTAGAGATTAAATAAAATAAAACGTGTTTTTAACTCAGTAAAACAACATTTATCATAAACGAAAATATGTATTGATCATCAATCATCATTGTCGTCATCATAATCAACTTGGTTTATTAAATTGGCATCTTGTTAAATTGGCTATTTTATGAAGCGAAGATTTTATTAACAAAAGGATTTTCTTAAAAAAGATTTGTGACCTATGGATTATTGGCCAGGGAGTCCAGTAATAGAAAAATAATGTCCTTAATTATTTTGTAACTTCAAAAATATTATAATAAAAACTCAAAATAACCATTTTGAAATGATAAGTACATTTTTAAGTCTTAGTTTTTCAATTGAAACCTTAAATTCAAGGAATGTTTATTTTTTAATTTGTGAAAATGCTCTCCATTCTTAGTGGGAATTTTCAATGTTGGCAACACTTCTGAAATGTCAAAATCCCGTAGAATTAAAAATCAAACTATAGTAAAATTATTTTTGTGTATTTTCAATTACATTATTTTTTGTTTTACTCAAACTGCTCAAAGCAGAACTTCAAAATAAATATACAGGGTGTTAGGTAAATGGGTATATGAGCCGACACTAGCCCATGTTAACATGGTCATATAAATGGTATGATGAAGTCAGAAAATTGATATCTTCATTTTAATTATTTTAATTTTCATACTATGTGGATTTTATAAATTTTATTTTGTATGAAAATTAAAAAAAAATGATGATATCAAATTTCTGACTTCACCATACCATTTATGTGCCCATGTTAGCATGTCGGCTCATAATTATACCCATTTACCGAACACCCTGTAGATACCAAGGATTAAGCTTTAAGATTAATAATCGATATTTCAATTGGTCCACAATCGATTAACATTATACCCATCCCTACAAGAGCTGTCAAAAACTATCTGTGACAGCTGTCATCCTAATGTCAGTCGATTCTTTCTTGCCTCTTGCCACACCTATCAAAAGCGCGCGCAGGCAATGTAACCTTGTCTAACAACTCAAGGAAAACATTCCATACTTTGCTTGGAGACAACTTCAAATTTTAATAGTAGTCAGTCGTTAATGATCGCTTTTGGAATTTACTATACAAGTAGTCAAGGCAGACAAGTCACTGGTCAATGTCCTAATTTGTAAATATGTGGATAATTATGTTTCCACAGGAAAAAAATGTTTCTAGATAAGTACCTACCTAAGTTTTTTGGGAAATGCAAAGTATTATTTTACGAGTATGCATTGAGTACATTTTTGTAGTCGATAGATTCGCAAAAATTATTAAAATTTTACTTAATTAAGTAGGCATAGGTCTACCTACCTTCTCGCGCTTTTTTACGTGACTTTTACTTTTACATAATTTTAGTAACCTAAAAGCCATTAAAATCATAACATAGTTTACTTGCTTAGTTTGGGCACAGATAATATTAAAATACTAGTGTTTGGGACTAAAGCGTAGTCGGCTACAACGTCCAAGTAGTCCAGTCATTTAAGCTTAAATTAGGTAAGAATCTCGGAATTCGAGATACCCAGCTGTAAGTCTGTAAATACTTGTATATTGACACCCTAAAAGTTGTCTCAAAACCTACATATGGTAGGGTGTAAGCAACTATTAAATTTCAAGGTCAACGGTCACAAAAATCGGTTTTTTGCGCTTTTTTTAGAAATATCTCATTTCCTATGGGTTTTTTGCTATTTGTATTTATTATCAATATTGTAGAATACTAAATTCTCTACAAATTTTGTTTAAAAACTTTTTTTATACGGTGAACCGTTTTCGAGATAGAGGGCGGAGAGCGCGCGGTCACTGCATCACTTCAGGTCTACTTAAGCGGTTTAGATTTTTCATACAAAAGGATTTTCCCGCTAATTCCTGTGGGAATTTCGGGAATTCCTTGTTGTAACTAAGCTTTGAGTTTACTAAGGTACCTACATGCCAAATTTCAAGCGTCTAACTTCCGTTAAGCGTTTAGATTTTTCATACAAAAGGATTTTCCCGCTAATTCCTGTTCCCGTGGGAATTCCTAAGTATACTATAACCTGCCCAGGTGTATGAAGAATAATTGTACCAAGTTTCGTTAAAATCCGTCGAGTAGTTTTTGTTTCTATAAGGAACATACAGACGGACAGACAGACAGACAAAAATTTTACTGATTGCATTTTTGGCATCAGTATCGATCACTAATCACCCCCTGATAGTTATTTTGAAAATATATTTCATGTATAGAATTCTGTCCGTCTGTATGTTCCTTATAGAAACAAAAACTACTCGACGGATTTTAACGAAACTTGGTACAATTATTCTTCATACACCTGGGCAGGTTATAGTATACTTAGGAATTCCCACGGGAACAGGAATTAGCGGGAAAATCCTTTTGTATGAAAAATCTAAACGCTTAACGGAAGTTAGACGCTTGAAATTTGGCATGTAGGTACCTTAGTAAACTCAAAGCTTAGTTACAACAAGGAATTCCCGAAATTCCCACAGGAATTAGCGGGAAAATCCTTTTGTATGAAAAATCTAAACCGCTTAAGTAGACCTGAAGTGATGCAGTGACCGCGCGCTCTCCGCCCTCTATCTCGAAAACGGTTCACCGTATAAAAAAAGTTTTTAAACAAAATTTGTAGAGAATTTAGTATTCTACAATATTGATATAATACAAATAGCAAAAAACACATAGGAAATGAGATATTTCTAAAAAAAGCGCAAAAAACCGATTTTTGTGACCGTTGACCTTGAAATTTAATAGTTGCTTACACCCTACCATATGTAGGTTTTGAGACAACTTTTAGGGTGTCAATATACACGTATTTACAGACTTACAGCTGGGTATCTCGAATTCCGAGGTGAACTTACTATAATGACTGGACTAAAGGTTTCAACTAAAATATTAAAACGTAGCATATTATGTTAAAAAATGACAATTAAAGTTACGAAGTTGTAATATAAAAATAAAAAAAAAAAAAACAGTTTCCTCCTCGTCATTAAATTTATAAAACCTTCATATTATTATGTAAGTAAATAAGGTTGATATAAGTAGGTAAAGCAGATACTTACCTAAATGGTTTTGCTATCTATCAAAATTATAGTCTTAAAAGAAGTTAGGGACCTAATAACACTAATAAGTATAACACTCTACTTTATTCTCACACTATAGAAGCGTAGAAGTTATTTTTTAATTTAACAAAATACCTAACTAAGTAAGTACCTACGGGATTTGGGGGGCATTGACGAGCAACAAGTTTTTTAAATTACAAATCAACGCATGTAACTCAATCGAGCAAAGTCCAATGGCGCCTAGTTCCAAATTACCTAAAATTATACTGAACTAGCTTTTGCCCGCGGTTTCACTCGCGTGAAATTTAGTTTGTCACAGATAACATAAATTATAGCCTATATGTTATTCTGGGTTATAAACAATAATACTGTAAAGTTTCATCAAAATCCGTTCTGTAGTTTTTGCGTGAAAGAGTAACAAACATCCAGACATCTAAACTTTCGCATTTATAATATTAGTAGGAAGTAGGATAATATTAGTAGGATAGTAGGAAGTAGGATATAATATTAGTAGG